GGCAGGCAGTGGAGCACCGGATCCGTGAAGAGCAGCGGACAATGGATGAGAAGATCGTCCTAGAGCTGGACCGCAAGGTGGCTGACCAGCAGAGCACGCTGGAGAAGGCAGGGGTCGCTGGCTTCTATGTCACCACCAACCCGCAGGTCAGCGATAACACTGGGGGCTGCCCCTGGGGCTGCTGTGACAGGGTACTGATGGGATTGGGGAAGGGGAGACAGCCAGCAAGCAGCCTGCCAGGCCCAGTCCTCCCGTCTGCATGAACCTGTGCGTGTATTGGGCCAGGCCCTCCCCTAGAAGCCAGCCACACTCCTTTCCCAGCACCCTCTGGGCTGCCTCTTCCCAAGTCCTTGGGAAAGGCTGCCTCTAAGTGGACCCCCATATACCCCAGGAGCTGACGCTGCAGATGAACCTGCTAGAGCTCATCCGGAAGCTGCAGCAGAGGGGCTGCCAGGTGGGGAAGGCAGCCCTGTGACCAGGTGGCCCCACAAGTACCCACAACTGCTCAGCCTGGGTCAAGAGGAGCTGGTCTTCCTGGTGTCTGTCACCTACCCAGAGGGGCTGCACCTGCCGCCCTCCATCGAGTGGGTTTCTCTGCCCCAGTGCTAAATGGGGTCGTCGAGGGGAGTGAGCCCTGCCCTGTGCTCAGTGTGCTGTGGACCCTGCAGCCCCTCACCTCATGGCCCTGGCCATGCCCCAGCCTGGCCTGAGCAGTAGGCTTCAGACTCAGACTTGCTCAGACCTTGGTGCCTCCACTGGCGGCTGCTGCCTCGGAGAAATAAAGCCTCAGTGTGACCTGCCCTTGGCTGATGTGGCAGCTCTGGACCCTGTCAAGGAGCCAGTTGAAAATAGTGACTGCAGAGGCACACATGGCCTGAGCTCTTCAGCAAGGGGTACTATGGCTGTGGGGGTAATGGACATTGAGGCACAGGAAGGATCCAGTGGGGGGAGAGTGGCAGAAGGTGGGGGTGCCCAGGGCATGATGAGAGGAGGAGGCATCTGTTCTGGGCCTGACCAGGGGAGGGTCTGTGCTGTTGGCCTGGATTCTGCAAGGGGCAGGAGGTGGCTGGAACTGCACACAGGAGGTACTGGTGGCCCTGCCCCCACCTACCTATCTCTGCCTGACCTCCAAAGCAGCAGATACTGGGAGGGCAGGTCCCAAAGGTGGAGCATCTCAGGCCTAACTGAGCCCTGCCCTCTACACCGACCTCGGAGATGGTCTCAGCCAGTCTGTGGTTTATTAACCAGGCCTGCTTCCTCTGGCCTGGCACTGTCCAGAGTATGCAAGGCACACCTGCCAGAATGTGAAGCCCCATTGGTTGTTGGGCACTGCCCCTGTCCGAATTCAAGTGTACATGTCCAGGGCCACTCAGACCACTCGGCCCACCTCCAGCGGTTCGCCAAGTTGTGGGTGTACACAGGAGGGTTGGGGTTGGAAAAGTTGCAGCCCAGAACCTGCCTCCAAATCACGGCCTTGGCCTGAGGGTGTTTGGAAGAGTCCAGGAGTGAGACAGGCAGCGGTACTGAGTGGGGTCTCCCACAGGCTCTAGGCTGGGTGGTAAGAGAGGCTGCCCGTGCTCAGCCTCCGCATCAGCTCCTGCCACAGCAGCTGCCGCTCTCGCTTGGCGCCCTTCATGATGCCGCTGTTCTCCAGGGCCCGGCGAGACAGGTAGGGCAGTACCTCCATCACGGGGCCGTAGGGCACGTACTTGTAGACCGGGTAGCCTGCCTGGCCTATGTGCAAGGAGACTTCGGCTAAGGCCAGGCCCCATCCCATTCCACCCTGCTCGTCACACCCCCATCCCAGGGATATGCTTACCCAGTGGGAAGCTGATCTGGTCACACATGCCCAACAGCTGTCCAAAGTACACCTGGTGTGTAGAGGGATGCAGGCCGAGTTCTTCCATCCTGCCAGAGCAGAGGCCAGATGCTCAGGAGTTGAGGCAGCCCCAAGGTACTGCCTACATAGCCAGGCCCCCAAGTCCCTCCTTCCATCCCACAGCCCCCAATCTCCACAGTCTAGCTGCCTTCCATTGCAGGGTGGGCCTAGATGTTCTCAGACATCTTCCCACAACCACCCACCTCCCTGTCCCCATTCCAGTGTCAGGGTCTCTTCTGGCCCCGTCCAGAGGACTAAGTACACCCCCCACACCCCGCCCATCCCAGGCTGTGCAGTGAGCCCTAGTGGCACTCAGGGTTAAGGTGGGACTGCTCACCAAAGATCACCAGGTTCTACCCACATGCTGCTAGGTGGGAGAGAGGAGGTTTTGTACTCGGGTAAAGGTTTCCAGCCTGAGAAACCCAGAGAGGCAGTGCTACCCTGTTCTACAGGGCCACTATGAGAGGGCATCAACTCGATGGCAATTTTATTTATTTTGGTTTTCAGACCTCTGTACTAGCTGTGCCCCCTGGGGCCCTTTCCCTCCTTCCCTCAGGACCAGGCTCTATTAGCAGGCCGCTCAGGTTAACAGGGCCTTGGACTCTCTATCACAGTGAGCCCGAGAAGGAAATCTGGGCAGCTGCTGGTCTGCTGACAGTCTCAGACCGTGCCTGCAAGGATGCTTGCCGACCCTGGCCCTGCCAGTGCCCATACCTCTGTGTAGCTAGCTGTAGCCTACGGCCCTGCAGTCATACCCTGCTGGGTGTTAGGGTTTGGTGCAGGCAATGGGAGCAGTCTGCCTTCCCCCGGTGCTTCTGGAGCTCTGACCACCCCAGTTTGACCCACTGCAGTGCAAGGTCCCAGAGGGGCTTCCCCTGGAGAGATGGGCCCACCCTCCTCAGAAGCTGTGTGGTGACAGCAGTGTGAACAGCCATCCTGAAGGGTCATATAGGGTGCAGCCCGGGCAATGAAGAAAAGTAGAGTGAGCTTGGGGCTACCCAGAGGAGAGAGCCTGTGTGCAACCTCCGAGCATGTCTCCGCAGGGAGATTTCGGCAGTCAGCAGTCAGTTGCTTCCCTGAAAACTTTGTCAAGAACGATAAAGAAGAAACGAGTAGCAGACGTCTTACTTTGGTCTTCAGATTTTTCTTATGCCCGAACTAAGGCTTGTCTTTAAAAGGCCTAACCCTCCATGGCCACAACCAATTTGTCTTTTCCTGCTAAGAAAGGGTCAGCAAAACCACAATTGCCGATGCAATGAAACAAAAACTGCTTTCCAGTTGCTCAGAAATAAAGCCTCCTTGTGACCTGCCCTTGGCTGATGTGGCAGCTCTGGAGCCTGTGGAGGAGTCAGTTGAAAATGGGGCCTCTACCTAACCCCCCCCCCAAAAAAAAAAAAAACCCAGCCCAGTTGATCCCAATCACAGTGACCCAACAGGACCGGGTGGTGCTGCTTCTGGGTGACCAATCTGACTTTCCATCTGCTCCTCTTTCTCCCACTGACCTTTTAGTTAGTGGCCCGACACTTAACCTGCTGTGCTACCGGGGCTCCCATGCTGTCAAGTCAGTTTTAACTCAGTGACCCAACATGACAGTAGAAGCCTCCCTGTGCATTTCCAAGGCTGTCGGTCTTTACAGGAGCATGCAGCCTCATTTTTCTCCTGCGGAGCACCAAGTGGTTTTGAACTGCTGACCTAATTGAAATCTCAAAAAGGTCTGCATCAGATGTGTGTGTGTGTTCCACACATATGTCCTTGACCCCCACTGTCCCCACAGACAGAATAATGGCTGGGGGAGGAGCACATGTACCTGTCCAACGTGAAGCGAACGGTATCTTCATTGTGAGATGCCACCATGACCTTGGTCTTGGCATTGTGCTTCAGCTCTTCCAGGACGAAGTCGAGGCACCTGGGGAGATTCCTGGGTAAGCTGGGTCTGTTGCCCTCAGAGAGAGGCTCTCGAAAACATCAGAGCAGAGAGATGGGGCTGGCTGCCGCTCAGTGACAGAAGCCAGCAAGAGGGACAGCCAGCGAGGAGAAATTAAGCGATCTCGGGGACCGGGCAGCCCCAAAGGCCGACAGGGCAACTGCCCCAAAGTGCAAGGAAAGGCTCAGAGCAGCTGAGGTGCCTGGTTCTGAATTTTGTTCCACAAGGGCGTGGATAGAGACAGGCTGCAACTGCTGGAAGTGTGTCCTGCTGTGTGGTGCCCCAGGGTCAGCATGCTCCCGTACCATGCAGGCAGACCCTCCTGGCTGGCCTTGGAGACCAGAAACCACGGCCTCTGTACTGAGTAGGTTCTCAGCGACCCATAGAAGGTTTCTGAGACTGCCCCTTTCGACAGCTCCATCTTCCTGAGGAGTGCCTGGTAGGTTTGAATTGACTTTTTAATCAGCCCCAGGCTGACCCACCGTGCCACATGGGTGCCACATGGGTGGAACACGGTTTACAATAGCTCCCTGGAGGCCAGCATGAGGCCAGCCAGAGCTGGCGGGGAAGGTCAGCAGTTCGACACCTTCAGTTGCTCCTCAGGGAAAGATGAGGCTTTCTACTCCCATACAGCTAGTCAGAAACACACAGGGGCAGTTGTACCCTGTCCTTCAGGGTCAACTCAGTGACCATGAGTTAAGGGGCCAGCCAAGTTCTAACCTAGTTCCCAGCTGCGAAACAGCACCACAGAGCAGTGGCTAAGCAGGCCGTTCACCCCCAAGTGGACTCAGGTGAGCCAGGTCCCTGGAAACTGCGGGTGCCTCCATCAAGGGGAGAGATTGGGAGCGTGGGTGTCATCCTGATTGGGTTATGACAGAATGTGTATGAACTGTTGGATGTCAACCTGATCTGTGCCATCAACTGTCACCTAATTCACAATAAAAAGTTGTTTTTCTTTTAAAAAGATAACTATTAAAAAATAAGGTTATAAAACTTTAAAAGATTACAACCAAGAAAACTGTATGGAGCAGTTCTACTTTGTCATAAGGCGTCACTATGAGTCTGAACCAATCTGACAAGCTAACAACAGCAAGTGTGAGGAGGGTGCAGGACCAGGTTGTGTGGGTTCTCTTGGGTGGCTATGGGGTGGACCCAACTCGACTGCACCTAGCAACCAGAACAATCGCTAGTAGCTTAGGCTCCTGTGTCTGTTATATCCCAGAGTCCAGCCCAGTGCGGGCCTCAGTGGGCGAATGCGCCTCCCGTGATGATGACTGTGGGCTAGGGACTGTCAGGCCTCCAAATGAAAATAAATAGCATTTTCCCACAGAATGCCTTGAGTCCCTGGTGTGTGCCTAGACTGTTCCTGGGACCAGGGCGCTGCCAGGAGAAAGCCAGGTGCACTTTCTGGCAGAACAGGAAAAAAGAAGTTGACATGCCCCACCATACCAGTGGCTATGGGAGGGCTGCAGGCCAAGCAGCGGAGCAGGCTGTGGGTCACCTCTTCTCTTCAAGGGCTATTCCAAGTTTAAAACCCTGAATGGTGCTGAACATGTAGACAGCGGGCCTGCAGGCTGCTTGCCCAGTGGGAGCTCCTGACCAAGGCTAGCCCTGCCCCTGAGGTTTTCAAACTCCCTCCCTGGAAAAGCCTCACCTGTGGCAGGCCAGGTGCCAAAGCTCTCGAGGAGGCCGAGGGGGTGCAGGCAGCATACCTGTGGTACATGGCATTGGTGGCCTCATATGTGGGGTTGATGGGGTCCTTGTAGCCGATCTCTGCAGCCCGGGTGCGTTCCTGGGCCATGTAGGCCCCCCGGACCAGCTTGGCTCCAAAACACCAACCCTCACGGCGAGCAAGCTCCACGTCCAGGGTCACGTTGTCATAAGCATCCTGCCAGGGCCAGTAAAAAGTCCCAGGGAGCCAGGCTGGGCCCAGCCCTGCCAGGAGTCCCCACCCTTGAGTCTGCTCTCCCTGGGGCCTCCCAGGGCTGGGGCCTGTGTGGGACCCAGGCCCGGCGGGGCATCATGCATACCCGGAGGTAGCACTGGTAGGTGTTGAAGATGAGTGGCTGCTCGCGGTTAAACCTCCGCTGCATCTCCAGCGTCAGGCGGCTGATGGCGGGCTGGAAATAAGTCTGCTCGGCATCCACCATCAGCCGCACACCCACCTTGGTGGCTTTCTGAGGCACAGGGGGTAAGGCAGCGCATGAGCCAAGCTCCCCCCTCCTCCCCAACCCAGCCGCCCAGGGTCCTGCCGCCCCAAGTGGAGATGACCACTGTCCAGCTTGTTGGGCCGGCATAGGACCTTGGCTAGGATGTCCATCCTCTGCAGCATCCTCGTCATCTGCTGCTCCTCCTCCTCTGTGAAGCGGGACAGCAGTGGCTCCAGCTGTCCTGTCTGGAGGCAGCACAGCACCCTCACACCACGTGCTGAGCACCCCCAGGGCCTGGTCTGCAGGCCCAGCAGTGCTGCCTCATCCCCACTCTCCCATCATGCCAAGCATAGAGAGCAGACTGGCTGCAGGGCTACAGAGACAAGCCCCCTGTACATGGCGCCATGCAGGGCCAGGAAGAGGGGGGATGCTGTGCAGTAGAGCAGTTGCTGTCCAGACCCACCCAGGGCCTCTGAGCAGTGGGAGGTCTCTTCTACTTCCACAGGTCCCAAATTCCAGCTTCTGCCCTCTCGCTAGGCCAGCAGTCTCACTGGAGGGCACCCACCTGCCACCCCTGCCCACCCCCACCATACATTTTTAGCATAGTAGCCCCACTGGCCTCAGACTGTGCCAGCCCTGTTCAGCACCCTCTTGACATCCTCAGCTCTCATTACAAGAGCCAAGTCCTCTACTGTTGGGCTGGTGGCACCTGCCCCTGGGCTATCTGTATGAAAGCGCTCCCCATGGACCTGCCTGGCACTTTTCTTACATTGCCCATCCTGCAGTGTCCCAACCCAGGAGTGTGTCCTCCCAATGACTCCCAGAGGATGGACAAATCACACTTCAGGATGTCCAACTGCTCCCAACAAAGGGGCTACAGAAGGGGTGCCCACCTAGTCAGCTCAGCCGGGAGTAACCTATGGCTATGGACGTGGGGATGCCAGGCTGCAGGGCCTCCCAGGAGCCAAGTGGGTGCAGTCAGCCAGCACGCAGAGGCAGAGCCTCATACTCCAAATGCCCAACTGTGCTCCCAGGCTGATCTCTGCGGACCGCCTTTGGTTCTCTACTGCCTTGCCCCTGCCCCCCAGGCACAAGCTACCCAGGTTTGTCCCTGGCTATGTCCTTAACTCTCCAAAGGATGGCCACCTTATCAAGCAGTGGCCTCAGGTCAGGTGGAATCTCATGTCCCTTCCCTTGAATGCAGAGTGGTCTTAACAAATGGCTTTTAACAAATGGGATTTGTCAGAGTTGACACTGTGACTCCTAAGCCTAGGTTAGAAAAGGTAGCATAACTTCTGCCTGCTTCTCTCTGAGCTTCACTCACCCTGAGCACCCAGCTATCAAGGCCCCAAGCTGAGAGCCAACATTGTGGGAAACAGATTTCTCCTGAGTTGTCTCCTCTAAGTGCATTCCAAACCTAGCTGCTTGCTACACATGATAAATGACTACACTTGGGGGTCAATGAAAGTAGGTCAGGTTATTCTCCCTAAGGGTTATCAGTCATCTAGAGCAGTCAGACTGTATAGTCTGTCCCACCCTAAGTAGGGCCCACTCCCTTCTGATAAGGATAGTAGTAGATTATTTCCCTGATATTGAATCTAGGGTCTGCCCTTCTTGTCACATGTATACCCCTAGTCCCTCCCCTTCCTATTATGTGTACACCCCTAGCTCATCCCCTTCCTGTTATGCTTATGCCCATTGTATATCCCCCTCCTACTGCTTGTATTGCCTATGTCACAACTGCTTCCTATGATGTATGTCTTTACCTGTAATTAGGGGGCATGCATGCCCCCCCCAAAATATATAAGCCTTGGTTAGTAATAAATGACTCTCTCCTGCCTTCTCTGCCCGTGCTGTGTGTGGACCTGGCTGTTGAAATCATGGCCATTTAGGAGGTGAGCATGCCACCATGAAATTTGTCTGACTTATTTATTTTACTCTCTTCTATCTCTCTTATTCTCTATGACTTTACTATAATCTTTACATATTATCGCCATACAATTGAGTCTCCTGAACCTGCGATTAGTTGTGGGAGGTTGGCTACCCCCACACAACATCAACTACTAAATGTGCAAGTTTGGGGGCCTCCAGATGAGCCTCACCCCAGCTACTGTCTTAAGACTCTTCCAGCAGATGAACCTTCAGTGGAGCCCCATCAACCCAGCACCATAAAGAGTGATAACGTAAGGGTGGCTGTTATTGCAGGCCACTGAGATTCGGAGCGACCTAGCACACAGTGATCAAACACCATCCTAGGAAGGGCCTCCCGGATTCCCAACTCACCTCGGCATAAGCCCCTTGTGGCACTCCAAACACTTGAGAATTAGAAAATTATCTTCTGCCCCCAGGATCAGAGCTCAGTGGAGCCAGTGGGAACAGTGACCCAGGCAACAGAAGAAGAGAAATCAAAATGGAGAGTCTTACCTCCAGGTTTGGGACCACCAAGTGCTTAGAGAGCTTGGTTCTGCCATCAATGAGGCTGCTCCAGTCCAGCAGGTCCACAGTGCTGAGGTGAGAAGCCACCATCAGCCATGGGCATGGTGTCTAGTTCTGGCCCCCAAATCTGCCCTATCCCCTCAAAGAGCACCCTCAACTCAATCACAGCAAAATCGACGTCTATTTCAAATGAAAATAACAGGCACCACGCGTCACTGCTACAAGCAGGCAGGATGGTGGCTTTAAGCTTATGATGGGCTGGTGTGCAGGAGGGGGATAAGGCAAGGGCAGAGCTAGTCACTCTGCCACTGTAGGTGAGACCAAGGAGATGGCAGTGGCGCCCCTGAAGGGTGTGGCCACGAATGGCTCTCTGTGGCAGATGCCACACTGCTAACCCTGCTGTACTGTCCTGAATCAGTTCCCTGATTCAACTATGGGGACCCTGGTGGAGGGGCAGGTGCAGGCCACCTCAGCCTGCCATCTCAGGAAACCTGCTGGGGCCAGAAACTCCTACCCAGACTCCCTCTTGGCTACTCCAACAGATTGTCACCCCCGCCCCTACCAGGCTTGTGCTTTCCAGGACGGGGGCCAGAATTGGGCACATAGGTAGTCATGGCTGACCTGGCCTGCAAGTGGCACACATCCTCTTACCAGCCAGGACCTTCACTTACCCAGACACCCCAAGGGTCTCAGCTGTGAACCAGTCTTTGATCTCAGTTTTGCTGGTGATGCCCATCTTTGCCACACTTTCCTGAAGAATTGAGAAGCCGTCCATCCGTGGTACCTAGCTCAACTCACTAGCATCTCCTGCTCCCTCCTCCTCCCCTGGCTTGTGATGGTAAATCTGACTCCCCAACACTGGCAGTGAAGATGGGGCTTGTTGGTTATAAAAGGAGGAAAAGTAAAATCGAAACAGGCTTAATTTATTTTGTGATACATGATAGTTTGTAACACAACCGAAAAGATGGGGCTGTGCTTCTATCCAGGGTGGATCAGGTCTAGTCGGTCTACTGCCCACTCCTGTCACTCCAACTCCCATCATACACTGCTCCTTCAGGGCTACAACCCTTCAGCCCTGCTCCCAGTCCCTCCCCATGGCAGCTCTGTGTGGCTCCCCCCACCTGCCAGTGAACCCAGCAGATGGAGGCAGTCAGTAGATTGTAGGCTCCTGAACAGCAGCACCCTGAATCTAACTGCCTGGCCCCTCCCCGCAGAGAGCCTGGAAAGGGCTCTGTCCCCCTAGCCACACATACCTGCAGGGCTACCACCTCCAGCTTCATGTCTTTGGCCGCCAGCCCCGCCTTTCCTTGGTCGGCAGCCATTTGGTGGAAGAACTGTCGCCACTTCGTCAGCACCTCTGAGAACTGCAGCTGCAAGGGCAGGCCTGAGCCCCAAGCGCACAAGCACCCACCCAGCCCTCGGCCCCAGGCTCCCAAGGCCAAGGCAAGGGGCAGCCTCAGGCACTTTCATTTAGTGCTAATGCAGCTGCAAGTTCTTGTGGGTGGAAAGTTCTGGCACTTACCAGAAACTGGGGTCTCCCCAGGGCTGTGAGTTTGATGGCTGAGAAGCCGTCATTGCTGGCGCCGCCTGTTAGAAGCCACAGAAAGAGGCATGAAAACTCCTGAAGAGGTGGGCAGGGACCTGGGCACCAGGGTGGGTGGGACAGGAGGTAGGGGACCTACGCCTGCACCTGTGGAAGCTGGTAGCCCCACAACTTGGCCTTCCACTCAGATCGCAGCCCCCGAAATGCATGCACATGGGCACACTGGGCGCTCAGGAGACTTTTTGCTAAGATGGGACAGCCACGTAGGCAGGGTCCGTTGTTTCACAGGTACAAGAAGATGGTCAGGCAGTCGGCCAGGCCAAAGAGCCCAGGCCTCAGTTTCCCCTACTACACCACCAGCACCCCACTGGCTGCATGTGTGTGCCACATGCTGGACCCGGCTTGAGTGCAGAGAGCTCTGGGCGGCCCCTCAGGAGCCCTCCCGAGACCTTTGCTTCTGGGTGACCCTCCTTGTCATTGGCCCCAGACAGGAAGGCACGGAGCTGAGTCTGGCACAGCTGAGGTGCCCGCCACATCAGTGGAGACGAGCTGGCAAGTGGCCCCAGTGGCCAAGACTCCCCCACTGCTTCTCTGGGAACACACTGCTGCCCTTTCTTTCAACACTCAGGAAGTTGGAAGAGGCACAGTGCCCGTGAAGGGGAGTAGGGCTGGCCAAGTCTGCCCACTGGGGTTTGGCTGGTTTCTGGAACCCAGAGAGGTCCTCAGGCCCTGGCAAACTGCTGGCTCCCTGGCAGCTCTAACAACTGGGCTCCATGCTGAGCATCCAGCGCTTAGGAAGCCCCCACATGCACTCCCTGAGCCAGAGAACCTTCCTGTCAGGTACCACACTCTTGCTGACCAGGTGAGGGACCCAGAGCAGAGGTGGGGCTCCCAACACACAAGTCCTCTGAGGCCACCTTTAGAACTGCCTGGCAGGGCTGCCGCTCCCCACTTGTAGGGGACAGGCCAGCTGCTTGGCTTGGTCAGCAAGGACCGTGACACCACCTGAAGCCTCGATGCAGCGCAGGAACGTCTCCATGTGCCCATCACACTTGGCTTCGTTGGCATAGAAGTAGGTGCGGGCACTAATGACGCCGTCCCTGCGGTCCCCAAAGGCCCTGTGGGCCTGGTACTGCTTCTCCCGCTTACTCAGACCTGCAAAAACAAACATACATGCACCCCTGCTGCAACCCCTCCCCTGCCCCCCAGTCACCTTGCAGGCCCTGTCCCCACTACACTGACCTGCCACATTCCCCCTGACAGTCCCGAGACCCACCCTGCTGGTCAGCTCTGTGTCCTGCATGGGTCCTGTGCCAAGCACCATGTATCTATCATGCATTAACCACCATGTGCCCTGCCTGGGACAGGACGACAGAGCTTGCATCTCAGAGGAGCATGGGCAGCATCTGCCAGGGGGCAAGGAGGTCTGTCCTTCACCACAGAGCATGCAGGTGACCTGTATCTGTGAGGGGTTGCTCAGGAAGTTGGCCCTCATGACCACCATGTGGGCATGAGTTCTTGGGCCAGCGGGCCCCTTACTCACCACTGCCATCTCTCTCCGCTGCTGAGGTGCAGGACCTGCAGGAAGGAGGCAGAAGGCTTGGGGTGGCACCAGCTCCTGGCAGGTGACAACTATACACGCTCCTACCTGTGGGGCAGAGCTGAAGGCTGCAGAGCGACTGGGGTACCCTCCATTCCACACCAGACCTCTGGGCTGCCTCGGGGACAGATGCCCGCCTGTGACAAGCTACTGGCCCTCCCCTGGCCTCAGGCTTCATACAGTGAAGTAAGGCAATGAGTGAACGAACGAGTGAGGAATGGTCAACCAACTTGGGATGTTCAACAGTTCATCTCCAACTTAGCAACGCTGTAGGATTGAACACAACTGCACCACGGGGTTCAGAAAACATAAATGCATATAGAAGCAGACAGCCTCATTGTCCTTCAGAGCAGCTGGTCAGTTTGAACTGGTTGGAGACCTGGACTTCGGGAGGCCAAAGGCGCTCCTGCTGTTCGGGTGGGCTTCCCGTCCCACTGCCGAGGCTGCCAGCGCCCCGTCCCACCCCAGTGGACCCAACGGAGGTCTTGATGAGGCGTGGTTCATTTGTACAAGGTAAGACCCTGTGGTCTTGTCCACCTCAGTCAGGCCCAGCCGATCACCCCTCAGCCAGGATCCCTACTGGCTCCAGGAAGGGAGCTACAAAAGTGGGGAGGAACTGTTTAAACTTTGAGTGACTAAGTGTGTGTGTGTGTGTGTGTGTGTGTCTGGTGTGTGTGGCTCCACAGACAGAAGACCCCAAGCCAGTCTGAGTCCTAACATGCAACACTGTGGTCACGTCATGCAGCATCACGGAGACTCGCCTCTCCTGTGGAGGGAGGCTGACGAGGCCCAGGGTTTACACAAGTGCTTCCTAGTCATGGCTGACCTAGCTCTCGAGAGGGACATGGTCAAGTGAATGGCTGTCCATGTGGTCCCATTCAGAGGCACCCCCTTCCCTTGTCTGCCATGCCATCATTCCAGAGTTCCACAGACACCAAGGGACATCACCAGTTGCAGCCCGCCGTGTTAGACTGTATGATCAGAAACCTTGACAAAGTCCCTCAGCACTATGACGTCCAAGTAAAACCAGGGCAACTCTGAGGCTGTGCTGGGTCAAATGGCCATTCTTTGAAGTTGATTGGCCCCTGGAGGGCACACTCAACCCCTTCACAGTCCAGGACAGTTTGTAATGTGGTCTCGGGGAGCCCTGGCCACCCTGCTCAGTTTTCCTGTAACTATGGCCTGCTCCTCGCCTCCACAGTCCGGTTTTGTTGCTCTAGGTAGGGGAAGAGTCAGATTTTTATTGCTCAAAAGACAAGCCAAATGTGGCAGAAAGTCCACTAAGCTGCCCCTAAGGAAGAACCCTTCCCACCGCCCTACGGTTCTCCCCCACCAGCTGCAGCACCCACTTCCCCCGCCGCTTCTGGTGCCAACTCCAGCATCTGACCTCGCTGCTCCTGTCCCCCTGGCTGTTTCCGGGCCAGTTGGGAGCCAGCTTGACTCTAGCCATCTGCCTCTACCTGCTGGCCAATTACCGGCCACCTGCCTGTGCAGCCTGACGGGGATGATGACACCCGGACAGCCATATTTTATTACCTTTGGCACCTCTGACCTTAACTGGAAAAAATAGTATCCCCCTACACCCTATACAGAGAAACCCCAAGCTATAGTTGAAGTAGTTGGTAGCCGACCAAAGAAAGGGGGGCACCCACACAAGCACACTGCCCCGCTGCAACCCGATCCATCAGTGTGCCCACTGCAAACTCAAAGGCACTGGAAGAACCCTCCCTTTGTGGGCTTTGTGGGGGACAACACGGACTGAGGGCCACTGGGCTCCTACTACCTTGGCTCCCAAGAGCCCATGGACCAAGTCCAAGTCAATTTCCATGTTGATACTGGAGTTGACCTCTCAGTGGTCAGTACCCCAGGAGCCCCTCTCAGCAACGGTCGTGCCACTCTCCTCAGGCCTACTGGGGAATGTGCCACACAAGCCTGCTCTTGGCCCTGGCCCTGCCAGCTGGTGGGGCGTGAAGTAGTCCACAAGTTCCTCGATGTTCCTGACGGCCCCTGCCCCTGCTGGGTCAGGACCTCCTGTCCAAAGTGGGGACAAGAGCCACCTTTGTGCCCGCGGGCCCCATCCAGCTATCCCTACCCAACACAAAGCACCTGGTCATGGCCCTTACTGTCGCCTGAGAAGAGGAGCAGAGACTCCACTCAAGTCACCTGCCATCACGACAACCCAGAAGAGCTCCTCACTGCCTTTCCCAACATCTGGGCCGAGCGCTCGCTCACCCAAAACCTGCAGTTAACCAAGCGCCAGCTGTAGCTGAACTTAAGCCAGGAGCTCAATCCACAGGATATGACAGAACCATATCTCCAGAGAGGCCCGTGTGGGAATTCAGGAGCACATTGTTAGGCTCTGAGAGGCTGGAATACTTTGAGGATGTCAGTCTGCCTGCAACACTCCGCTCCTCCCTGTGAAGAAGCCTAGGTGGGGAGTGGGGGTGAGGAGGGGTGGGGTACCGCCCTATGCAAGACCTATGGGCCGTCAACAGTGCTGCAGCCACCATGCATCCTGTGGTCCCTACCCCATAGACACTGCTGAGCCTCCTTCCACCCAAGGCTGCCTGGTTTACCTGCCGGGGCCGGAAAGATGCCTTATTCTGCGTAAAACTAGCACCCGTCAGTCAGCCCATCTTTGTCTTTAAATGGGAGAACCCAAACTTCGGAGCTAAGAGCCAAATGACCACACCCGCTTACCCCCAAGGGTACAGAACGTTGCCTACCTTGTTAGGAGAGGCCTTAAAATCAGACTTAGCCAGCTTTCTTGGAGACAAGCTAAACTGCTTACTCCTCCAGTCTGGATGGTTTGCTCCTTCTGAGCGACACCAGGGAGGACTGTTGGATGGGGACACTTGCACCCCTACAGCTCTTGGACTCTGTAGGATACAAGGTATCATGGGAAAAGGCACAAATATGCCAGCAACGTGTTCAATTCCTTGCAGAGGGATGCCGTTGGCAGAAAACAGGTCTTCTGCTCCATGCTTCCTCTGCTCACCAGGAAGCCGCTATAGGAGTTTCTGGGTGTGGCAGGATTTTTGGCTTCACACAAAAGGCAAAGCCTCTATATGCTACCTTGACGGGGCTGGACAACACCCCTTTTGAGTGGACGCAGGCTCAAGATCAAGCCTACACTGACATAAAATGGGCTCTCACCAAGGCCCCTGCCCTAGGTCTGTCTGACATCCAGGAAGACCTCACTGACATGCCCAAGGCTGAGGGTCACGGACACCTGCCGGGAAGAGTCTGCACTTTCTCTGCACGGGTAGAGGCAAGACCCACCCGCACAGAGACGGCCAAGAGGGGACCCAACATCTCCTCTAGGAAATCACCCCTCTGTGCGGATTGCCTCTGACTACAGAAGGGACAATGGATTGTCATTTGTCGCACAGGTCCTACAACTAAGCACCCTCTTGGGGATAAAGGAGAACTTCCATGCCGCCTACCGCCCGGAGAGCTCAGGGAAAGTAGAGCACTGGAGGCAACAATTGGGAAGTTTTGTCAAGAAACTAGGCTCAAACCCAGTGGATAATCTTCTTTTGAAATAATGTTTGGCAGGCCCCTACCCCTAGTAAGACAGTTCAAGGGTGACCCCACTTCCCTTGGGCAGCAAGGCCTCAGTGAAGCGCTCTAAGCCCTCGGAGCTGCCCTCAAGAACATCCACCTGGGGGAAGCAGATTTCTCCCAAGTTGTCGCCCCTGCCCCCCAAATATGTGTTAGACTCAGGACACTGCTTGCAGCTGATGGTAAATAATTGTCAAGTTACCTCCCAGCAGGCAGGCAGTTGCCAGACTACCTGGTCTCACTCACTCCCTGCTGTTAAGGACAATGGGCTACTTCTCCCTAAAGGCCTGTGGCCATCAGTTTGGTCCCTGCAGGGTGGGTTTACACCCTACTGATAATAGTTTCTATGGTGAGCAGAGAACAGGTCAAACCAGCTCAGTGACATCCAAAGATAGGCTGCCATCCTTCTTGTCACATGTGTACCCTTATTCCCTCCTCTTCCAATAGCCTATGAACCCCTAGGTCACCCCCCTCTCAATGCTGTGTATGAACCCCTAGATCAACTCCCTCTCATTGCTGTATTACCTGTAGCACAACCCTTTCCAGTGACGTATGTCTTCACCTGTAATTAGGGGGCTTGCATGTCCCCAGAGAATATAAAAGCCTTGGTTAGCAATAAATAGCTCTTTCTCCATGTGGACCACCAAGTGAGGCGGAGGTGAGCACTGCTACTATGGAATGTGTCTGACTCCATAATTTCAATCTCTTCTATATCATACTTTCAATCTCTTCTATATCTCAGTCTTTTCTAAATCTCTATGACTCTACTATAATTTTTACTTATTATCACTGTACAATTGCGCCTACCAGACCCGTGATGATGTGTTAGGGGCTGGTCTACCTTGACATCTACCAGGTCGTGCTAATTAGGTGTCAGGTCCTCTTGGGAAACCCATCCACCCTTTCCAGCCCACTGGGTCAGTGGAGGTCAAAAAACGGAAACAGGAACCTAACAGCTGGCATGGACCGTGACAATAACACTGGTCACTCCAACTGCTCTTAAAGTGACTGGGCATGCCCTGTGGATCCATGACACCCGAGTAAGGGACTTCACACCTTCCTCACCCTGCGACCCTTTCATACAGTTGCTCGTGTGGTGGTAACCCCGCCAACCATAAAATTGTTTTTGTTGCTACTTCATAACTGTAATTTTGCTCCTGTTATGAATTGGGTGACCCCAGTGAAAGGGTTATTTGATCCTCAAAGGGTCATGACCCACAGGTTGAGAGCCACTGTCCTAGGAAAACCATCTTCCAGACTCCTTGGAACCCACTCAGGGTGACCCTGAAGTGAGAGCCACCTGCTGGGAAAGGCGACAGCCCTGTCCTAGTCGCAGGCCCGGACGCTGACCAGTCTACACACAGCAGAAGCCTGAGGCTCTGTAGAGACCTTGCCCTCATGCCCTGTGGCGCATGCCCCTCTTGGAGCCCAAAGCTCATATCAGCCACAGGGCTAGCCATGACCGCCCCTGAAGAATGGCTATCTTTCCACGGGTGCTCCTGGGGCCTTTTACATTGTTGTTTAGTCCTGTTTGGATCTTTCAACAGCTTATAATCCCCACAGCTCACACCTGGTTCTCAATGTTACTGCCTCGAGGGACCCTGTTGTCCTCGAGTACGCCGCCTGCCTAGTACTCACTCAATTGTGGAGAACTGACCTGACAGCCGCCTCCGCTATCTATCTGTGCCCACACACTACGGGGACTGGATGGTCCTGGAGAAGGAGAGCTGAGATGTGGAAAAGGGGCCCTTGTGCTCCCTCTGGACACTGCTTGGTGGGGCTGGGTGTCTGATCCTGGCTGTCAGGGGATCGATAAACTCCATGTCGTTAGGGGACAACAGCCTCCCAACTGTCAACCGAAATCTCAAAGCAGCCCCCTCCATACTCCAGATATCTTGATGACACCAACCACCCTGAGAGTGATGCCCACAAGTAGCAAAGACTATGGGCATCCAAAGGGGGGCAGAGGAGCCACAGTTTTGCTGTTACATGGTCAGTGTACACAGGTCAGTGCAAAGGGGCCCAAGGTGAGGGACTGACACAGTGGCTGCGACCACAGGCTCCAACACAACTGTGGGGATGGCGTGGGGCTGGGCAGTGTTCTGCTGTGCTGTGCTTAGGGTCGCTGTGAGGTGGAACCAGCATGAGTGCAGCACATCACAACCGCCACCCCACTCTGGTGCAGACAGTTATGCTCCTCGTTGGTGGTTAATTGAGTTAGTGTCTAAAAGCCAAGTCACCCCTGGCAGAGCCCCGGTTTCATCCTAAGCCTTAAAATCGGTCCAAATGCCATCCTGAGTCCCCCACGTTCACTTTCTGACCACCAAGCCACCAAAATGAAGTCCAAGGAGACAGGAAAGGACAGCAGCCCCGAGCAATCTCCATGGTAATCTGGGAGGGCAGGGAGGAGCATACACACAGGAGCTGGCTCAGTGCCTTTGACTCAGCGATACTACAGGACAGTACAGAACTGCCCCTGAGGGTTTCCAAGACAGTAACTCTTTAAGGGAGGAGAAAGCCCCATCTTGCTGCTGGTGGGTTCGAACTGCTGACCTTTCGGATCGCAGCCCATAACCATTAAGGATAAGGAAGTTCTCCCTCACGACCTAGATATGAAAACAGAAGTCATCTCCTTTGTCCTCCCCAATTCTGGCCTAATTAAGCAACAAAGGACCCCTCCTGTCTTTATCATAAAGCCTTTGATGACCGTTTTGCAGACGTTACTGTTCATGCTTGTCTGCTCTGTTTTAAGAACCAAACCACTCCAAATGCTATAAAGAACAAATTGTGATCGACATCAGTCTGTCTCCCATCTCTCTCTTCTCTTTGCATATGTTGAATGAAATTTGTCCCCCCGCCCCCCCACATTGTAATCTTGTGATGGTTTTACTCTAGGATAGTAATAGATAACAAGACTGATGGTCAGAGGGGCTAGATCATTTGCCAAAGTCACACAGCTGGCCATGGGCAGAGCTGGGGCTTGCACCAAGGCTGTTTGCCTCCAGAGTCCACAGAGCAAGTCTGCCGCCACCCACCCAGAGCTGAGGTCTCCCCACCACTCCCCAGGGTGGGGTAGATGGGCCCTGTAGGTGAAGCGGGTAGCTGTAAAAATACTAAAGAGGTCCCCTGTACAAATGTGGTCAGGAGTGACCCTGACCAGCCAGGAACAGTATGTGATAGTGATTCTGCCTGCCAGCCCGGCTCAGCTTCCAGGGCCCTCCAGGTCCGGGGCATTGAGCAGGGAGGGGCCCATCCAGCACACCTTGGAGCCTGGGGGTAGAGGACAGCTGGAGAGGAGCAGGGCTCCATGCCCTGGGAGGAGCAGGGCTGGGGAGGAGCAGGGCTCCATGCACTTAGGACAC